TCGATGGTGATGAAATGAATTTACATGTGCCGCAGTCAATGGAAACAAGGGCAGAGGTTGAAAACATCCATATAACTCCTCGACAAATTATCACACCACAAGCAAATAAACCCGTCATGGGTATTGTGCAAGATACATTGACAGCTGTAAGGAAAATGACGAAGCGTGACGTATTCCTTACGAAGGAACAAGTTATGAACCTTCTTATGTTTTTACCCACATGGGATGGTAAAATCCCACAGCCCTGCATTTTGAAACCTCAACCATTGTGGACTGGTAAACAAATCTTTACGCTAATTATTCCTGGTCCAGTCAACATGATTCGAACACATTCTACACATCCTGATGAAGAAGATGATGGTCCATACAAGTGGATTTCGCCTGGAGATACTAAAGTCGTTGTAGAGCATGGTGAACTGCTCATGGGCATTCTGTGTAAAAAATCACTTGGTGCTTCAGCAGGTTCTTTGCTACATATTTGCATGTTAGAATTGGGCCACGAGACAGCTGGTCGGTTTTATGGTAATATTCAAACTGTGATCAACAACTGGCTACTCCTAGAAGGTCACTCCATTGGTATCGGCGATACAATTGCCGATCCTCAGACCTACCAAGAAATTCAGCGCGCCATCGTCAAGGCCAAAGAGGATGTCATAGAAGTCATTCAAAAAGCTCACAATATGGAGTTGGAGCCTTCTCCCGGTAACACTCTCAGGCAGACATTCGAAAATCGAGTGAACCGTATTCTGAACGACGCTCGTGACAAGACTGGTGGATCAGCCAAGAAATCTCTTACTGAATACAACAACTTAAAGGCTATGGTGGTCTCTGGTTCTAAAGGTTCCAATATTAATATTTCTCAGGTTATTGCCTGTGTAGGTCAACAGAACGTTGAAGGTAAACGTATTCCGTTCGGATTCCGTAAAAGAACATTGCCGCATTTCATCAAAGACGATTACGGTCCTGAGTCCAGAGGTTTCGTCGAAAACTCGTATCTTGCCGGTCTGACACCATCAGAGTTTTATTTCCACGCTATGGGAGGACGTGAAGGTCTTATCGATACTGCCGTCAAAACTGCTGAAACTGGATACATCCAACGTCGTTTGATAAAGGCTATGGAGTCTGTCATGGTTCACTATGACGGCACTGTCCGCAACTCAGTAGGACAACTCATTCAGTTGAGATATGGCGAAGACGGTTTGGCGGGAGAAACAGTGGAGTTCCAGAATTTGCCCACTGTAAAACTGTCTAACAAGGCATTTGAAAAGAAATTCAAGTTTGATCCTTCAAATGAAAGATATTTGAAGAGGATTTTCAGTGAGGACATTATAAAGGAGTTGACAGAATCTGGTTATGTTATTAGTGATCTTGAGAGTGAATGGGAGCAACTTTGCAAGGACAGAGAAGTGCTACGTCAAATCTTCCCAACTGGTGAATCTAAAGTTGTACTGCCTTGTAATTTCAAGCGAATGATTTGGAATGCCCAGAAAACTTTCCATATCAACAAAAGAATGCCAACAGATTTGAGTCCAATTAAAGTGATATCGGGAGTAAAAGACTTGCTTAAAAAGTGTGTTATTGTAGCAGGCGAGGATCGTCTGTCGAAGCAAGCCAACGAAAACGCTACTCTGCTATTCCAATGTTTAGTGCGTTCCACTTTATGCACCAAGTTTGTGTCTGAAGAGTACAGACTTTCACAAGTAGCTTTTGAGTGGCTGATTGGAGAAATTGAAAGCAGATTCCAGCAAGCACAGGTAAACCCTGGCGAAATGGTGGGTGCTTTAGCTGCACAGTCTCTTGGTGAGCCCGCCACACAGATGACATTGAACACTTTCCACTTTGCTGGTGTGTCATCCAAAAACGTAACTCTCGGTGTGCCTCGTCTTAAGGAAATTATTAATATTTCCAAGAAACCTAAAGCTCCATCTCTAACGGTGTTCTTGACTGGAGTTGCAGCCAGAGATGCTGAAAAAGCCAAGAATGTACTTTGCAGACTTGAGCATACTACCTTGCGCAAGGTGACAGCAAACACTGCCATCTATTACGACCCTGATCCACAAAACACTGTCATTGCTGAAGATCAAGAATTCGTTAATGTATACTACGAAATGCCTGACTTCGACCCAACAAAGATTTCGCCGTGGCTGCTGCGTATAGAGTTAGATCGTAAGAGGATGACTGATAAGAAATTGACCATGGAACAGATTGCAGAAAAGATCAATGCTGGATTTGGTGACGATTTGAACTGCATTTTCAATGACGACAACGCTGAAAAGCTTGTGCTGCGTATTAGGATTATGAATAATGAAGAAAGTAAATTCCAAGATAATGATGAGGAGACTGTGGATAAAATGGAAGACGACATGTTCTTGAGATGTATTGAAGCGAACATGTTGTCTGATATGACTCTACAGGGTATAGAGGCTATAGCAAAGGTGTACATGCATTTACCAAAGACTGAAGCTAAGAAACGCATTATAATAACAGAACAAGGAGAATTTAAGGCTATAGCCGAATGGTTGTTGGAAACTGATGGTACTTCATTAATGAAAGTACTTTCGGAGAGAGATGTCGACCCTATTAGGACCTTCAGTAACGACATTTGTGAAATATTCCAAGTACTGGGTATTGAAGCCGTGCGAAAGACGGTAGAGAAAGAAATGAACGCTGTGTTGCAGTTCTACGGTCTATACGTGAACTACCGACATCTGGCCTTGCTTTGTGACGTTATGACTGCCAAGGGTCATCTTATGGCTATCACTCGTCACGGTATTAACAGACAAGACACCGGAGCTCTCATGAGATGCTCATTCGAAGAAACAGTCGATGTATTATTGGATGCTGCTAGTCATGCTGAAGTAGATCCTATGAGAGGCGTGTCTGAAAACATTATCATGGGACAACTACCACGCATGGGAACTGGTAAGTGTTACTTAAATATACTTGATTTAATACTTTTATTATTTGATTTGTGTTCAATTCTGATGAAAACTCCTCTTCTTTTTAGGTTGCTTCGACTTGTTACTTGATGCTGAAAAATGTAAACTTGGTATGGAAATGGGCGGTCTTGGTGTTGGCGGAGTGGGAGGTGGCATGTACTTCGGTGTCGGCACTCCATCCATGACGCCACTGATGACACCGTGGTCCACACAGAACACTCCTGGATATGGAAGCAGTGCATGGTCACCAGGCCAAGGTAAGAATCGTAATGATGTTCTCACATAATTTAATCTACACACTAAAAAATATAACCAAGAATTGTATTGTGAACTTGATTGAAAAAGTGTGGAGTTTCTTGCTTGTTTTTCTCCATAGAAATCACACACTTTGGAAGGAGCAATATCTAATCTTATTTTGTACTTTGTTACAGTGGGAAGCAGTATGACACCGGGTGGTCCATCATTCTCGCCATCAGGAGCGTCAGATGCATCAGGTCTATCGCCAGCGTACAGCGCGTGGTCTCCGCAGCCGGGCTCCCCCGGCTCCCCCGGCCCTCCGCTGTCGCCCTACACATCTCCCGCAGGCGCTTCACCATCGTATTCTCCTACGAGCCCAGTGTACGCACCTGCCTCCCCCAGCCTTACACCAACGTCGCCACATTATTCCCCAACAAGTCCGTCATATTCACCGACTTCTCCAAACTATTCTCCAACGTCGCCAATATATTCGCCAACATCGCCGAGCTATTCTCCCACATCCCCCGGATACTCCCCAACATCGCCTTCTTATTCGCCGACATCACCCAGTTACTCTCCCACTTCACCGAGCTATTCTCCAACGAGCCCTGCGTATTCACCAACATCGCCCAGCTATTCGCCGACATCACCAAGCTACTCGCCAACGAGTCCGTCTTATTCACCGACAAGTCCATCATATTCACCGACCAGTCCAGCATATTCTCCCACATCGCCGGGATACTCGCCTTCTTCCCCGAGCTATTCTCCAACCAGTCCAGTGTACAGTCCCGCTTCACCCAGTTACTCGCCGTCATCACCGAACTACACTCCTACGTCGCCGGCGTATTCACCAACGAGTCCCTCTTATTCACCGACTTCACCCGCATATTCCCCAACTTCTCCAAGTTATTCACCATCCTCACCTAAATATTCTCCTTCACCCAACTACTCTCCTACATCACCATCTGTGGCAGGAAGAAGCCCTACTTATTCCCCGACTAGCCCACAGTACTCGCCTACGAGCCAACAGTACTCCCCAACGAGTCCTGCATATTCGCCGTCGTCTCCCCAACACCCGGGAAGCACGCGCTATTCACCCTCCTCACCAAATTATTCACCGTCTCCGAATTACTCTCCTTCCTCCCCGGGATATTCTCCATCATCGACAAAGTACTCCCCAACCTCACCAACGTACACCCCGACCTCGCCCAACTACTCCCCATCATCCCCCGCGTATTCCCCGTCCTCTGCTGGACCTAGCACATATTCTCCAACTTCACCTACATACTCTCCCACTTCACCTAACTATGATGATGGCGATGATTAATTTAATTAATTTTTATTCTTCTTTTCTACATTATTATTTTACTTTACGCTATGTTATTACTATTTGTAAATATTTTTACCTCCCTTTTCTAAGTGGAGAACTAAAATACATAAAACATGAAAAAAATGTACTGTTAGTAAAGTAGGCTAGGTTAGAAAATATATTATGTAATATATTCTAAGTAAGTTTATATCAAAAATACATTAAAACAATTACTTATTTCTCGTATTTTTTTAATTACCTTTCTGTCGTGCTTCTTTATTTTAAGCGTTAAGTGTTTGTCAATACAGCACTATTTTAAAAGATCGCTTGTTATTGACTTTAAATTAGTTAAGTAGACTAATTTGAAATTATTATGTAACACCGATGCGGTGATGAACATATAGTATGTTCGGAAACATTTTGTTATGCATTTTGTGGTGGAAAATAAAGTTACACAAATAATATGACGAACTTTTATTTTATTGTTACTGACCCAGTATTATATTATCAATAATACATACTACAATTATCTTAAGAATTTCAAATAGTTAAGTAAAAAAAGTAACAAATTACTTGGGGCATTGAAATGTTTTTGGGGTTTATAATTAAGAATTACAAAGATAAAAAGTGATATCGATAAATTAATGGAAGAGTTTCATTTCTTAGGATGAGAACATAAATAATTACAAACCTACTATCTACATTACTCTCTAGAGGTATATTAATCTTAGGACACTTACAAAATACAAACCATTGTGCTTTTAAACCTCGAACACAGCCATTTTATTTATATTACTTAATACTTACGAACTAAGCCTGATCAATTTATTATTAGGTTATTTTCAGTAAGTTTGCCGCAACATATTTTACTCATACGTCACTATACTTCGACACAACAACTCAATGGTAAATTCATGTAAATATGTGCTGAATCGGTCTACGTATTAGCATCACTTATTATAAAACGTCACCTATTATTAAGAAAAAATACAAATAGGTATCTAATGAGTATTATGGAAGCCGTTTTGAAGCAATTCTGTTTGTACTTAAAACTAAGGGTTTGATTTATTTTCCTCGATATATTTCTATGATGCGATCCTGGTCGACGTACTCGAAGATGTGTGGCGCGTCCATGAGGATGCCGACCGTGCCTGCAGTCGTCACGATGAAAAAGATGTACAGCTGCAGCCTGTCGATCACCATCGCTACGTACTTCCAATCTTCACGTGTCTGTAGAATAAAAAACGACGATTAAGTAGTCAGATTAAAGATCGTCTAGGAGATAGAATGTGAGACAGATTGATTAAAATTGTATGAATATCAACAAACAATTCTCACTTGTTTGTGTAATAAATGACTAATTGATACTAAAAAACCAAATGAAGTTTCAAAACATGATTTCAGATATTTTTAAGGTAAATCTTAAATTGTATATCAACACCAACCTGAATGTAAAGATCTTCATTACGTAAATGTTCTGCGATGAACTCTACTGCTTCCGTAGCCTTCGCAGCCTCGGGCGACAGCAGCAAAGAGTCGGAGCTCTCCGACTCCCTCCTCTCTCCTCCAAGACCGAGGCCCCCGAGGGCGCCGAGACCGCCCAAGGCGCCGACCTCACCGCCGCCGGCTGCTCGGTTTATCTTGCAGTTCGGGTGGTGAAGGTCCGACATCTCCATCGCCTCCATTTTGCTTTGTTTTGCACCAATCGCACTAAGAAGTTAGTATATTCACAAGGTTCACAGGTTAGAGAGGGTTGACTAGTGTCTACGGAGAGGTTTTAGGTGTAAACGTACCTGATGTGTTTAGGCAGGTCGTGCGGGGCGGCTGCGTGGGGCGGCGCGCCCATACCAGGCATTTCCATCATCCATCGCAGTCTCGTTTTACGTGGACGACGCATGAGGAGCCCCGTCGGTAGGTAATGAAGGAAGACACTTCGGATCCATAGCGGCATTCTGCAGAATATAAAACATTTATTTAGGATGGTATTCTAACTATCTACTCTATACATTTAACATTTGCATTAGGTAGGAACATTTAATTACCGGTGTGTTCTTGGACCTCTAAAGTTCCAGTTGATAATGATGACCGTGACTAGAATACTGACGGTGTTCATGATGAAAGTAAAGAGGAGGTACTTGGCAATCAGGGGTAGCACCAGAGAGGTCGGCGGGAGAATCTTCGACACCAGTAGCAGGAACACAACCAGTGACAGCAAAATGCTAATACCCAACGTTACCTGAAAAGAAACGTGGTTGAATTAAAAAAATATGGATTTAATGTGATAGTACTACATTCATTGACCGAGAAAATATTATACCTTTTCACCAGCTTCGGCGGGTAAATAGAATACTAAGACGCAGAGGAATGAAATCAATACTGTTGGCAGGATCAAGTTGACAGTGTAGAACAAAGTTTTTCTCCTGATTATAATGTAAAATGTAATATCAGTTTCAGTAGGGTGGTTCCCTTCATAAATATTCAGATAAGCTGGCACTTCGATAATGTCCCAAGTACCCGACTTCCAGTAGTCGGACAGATCGACGAAGTTCTTGTTGTTGTATAAAGCGAGCGATACTTGATCGCCGTTGAAGGTCCAAGATCCGAATTTCATGATGCAAGTTTGTTGATCGAAGGGGAAGTACGTGACGTCAATTGTGCACGAGCTCTGTAAAAGAAATGAGATATACATATAAGTACTAAACAAAATAAATAAATAAATTGGAAATATTAACTAATGGTCATAATAATTGTACCTGATAAATAGCTGGTGGTACCCACAGCACTTCACCGTTGGGATAGATTAGAACGTTCGACTTGTACCGCACCTCGTAGTTACCGTCGGCGCTGAAATATAGGATAATGAATAGATTTAAAAATATGAAAATAAACTTATTTTTAATACAATATAACGTCATATCCTTTAATTTCTGAAGGGAGTAGACTCCCATTGTAAAACACCCTCTTTGACCAGTTATGCTATTACTTATGTACTTATTTCACGTATCAAGAGGTGAACCCATTACCATACATCCGGCACAAATTCAGATTCTGTGCTATTACTGAAAATTTTTGAAAGGCTAAAGAAACATCCAATGATAAGATGACAGTCCCGGGAATCAAACCCTGGTATTAAGTACTCAGCAGTCACATTTGCGGTTATTCAACCAATGAGACAATGTTGTCAAAGTTAAACATTAAAAATAGTAAGAATTTACGTACTTGTTGAAGAGTACAATGTCTGGTTTCCAGACTTTGTCGGGCGGCAGCCGCAGTACTCCTATGCCGCCATAGTCAGCCTCGTCCCACATCAGCTGGTAGTCCATCCAAACTAACCGGAGCCATACGTTCGACTTCATGATCTGATTCTTCTCGTTCTGTAACAGGACGTAACATGTTCAAGTGAAATGTCGTTGAAAATTTGCAAGAGAAACTACTGGGTCTCGGTTCGACTCCCATGCACGGCAAAATCGAGATTTTCGATTTCAGAATTGTTAGTGCTACTGCCAGCATATTTTCCATACATATGGTATATACATATGATATACAGCAAAGTTTACCCGTGTTTATTGCTTCAGCGATAAAAGGTGTGATGTTATGAAAACTAAAAATATCAATATACCCTAAAAACCATGTAAAACGATTACGTTTCAGACCAATAACAATTAGAATTCAATTAGAAAAATTAAAATGAGTAATGAATACGTAAATTAGTAATACATACAACATTAATAAGCTGTACGAAGGCTAATCCGAATCGCACGTCGACTTTCTGAGTCATATTTTGTACTGGGCGGATCAGTTTGTTGTAACCACGGAACAGGTCGCGGACCAAACGCTCCTCGTCTTCGGAACACCATCCTAGAACAGATACATATGTATTATGTATTTAAATTATATATTTACACCAGTAAATAGGTTACAAAATACGCGACAATATTTGAAAAAGAAACTCATTGAGTCTGATTACTCTGAGTAGAAATTCCGAAACAATTTGTGGATTTTTCAATGACTTAAAATAAGTAATATAATTAGTTAATATGTAATATAATTAGTTAATTTCGTTGTCACATTATTTTATTCAAGAATTATGTTGTATGTGCTTATTAAATAACGGTTTGTTAAATACGAGCTTTAATTGCGTTATCAATATTAATAGTTCAGCTTTTATGTTGTTAATTATTTCTAACACTTCCAGGTCGCAATGAACAATAAATTAATACTGAAATAAAATTATTTATTCAATAATCTAATACCATACACAAGTACATACTACATAGCTATATTTATTTGAATATTAACAACTCTAATTTGCTAACATTACAACGTACGCGTTTATGTCTTTGACATTGAGAAAAAACAAAAGAAAATTGAAACCAGGTTTAATATGTAATCCAGATTAGATACGACGAGCTTTCAATACACAAGTATCTATATACATTACGATTAAGTTTCCTTAATGATACATACACTCGTTATCAAAACTATTAAGATACCGTAGCATGTATCCTGTATTTGTGTGAGTATAAAGTATTAAAATGATTATAAATGGCTTTGATAAGGCTTTTCCGTAAGTTCAGTAACGTGTCAAGCATCCGTAGCCGAGATGCTGCTGTGACGACAGATCAATAAAGAGCGAACGTGGAGATACCGTTGTTTAGGAACACACTTCTCCACTGGTAACACATGTTTTTACTTACAATTAAATACTGTTAACAGACTCAAGTAACATATTAAGTAATAATGAACAAATTAAACTTAAGTAGTTATTAATTCGGAAGTGATATTTTCAAGATGTTCATTTACCAAACACTTGATTAATTACTGCTTGTTTAGATATATGTTACAAGTATTATATGTTATAGTCGTCCTGTGATTAGTATATAACTTGCATATAATTTGTTTATATGCTTCACTATTTACATAGCTAGCCGGTAGCGCCGTCCATATGAGATAGGTGAGAAAATGGTGTGAGGTATTGAGTGTTGGATAAGAGAATGAAGGTGTAGTGAGGTGATTTGGTGTGGGTATTGTTTGTATATTGTACCTGAGTAGAGTAGTGTGAGGATCGCGGTGAGCAGGAGGAAGGCGCGCGACCCGCCCGACATGGCGGCGGGCACTGCCGCGCGGGGCGCATCCTGGCGCGCGCCGCGCATCCCGCCGCGCCGCGCCACACCCCGCCACATTCCCGAGTCCTCCCGTAGCGCCCGCCCGCCCAATTCTACTGCCCTGTGCACTAATGCACCCTGAACTTATTTTTCCACTTAATACTCCTATTTCATACCTCATTTTACTAGAAATGGAAGAAGACATATTTAGTTCATTCGTCACATCAAGACTGTCACAAGAACCTGTGCACTAGGTGGTTAGGTGTCATATTTACTTCAACTGTCCAGAAAATATAAAATCTTTAAAAGCAATGTATTAAACAAGTTATTTACTGGTTTTGCTTTGCCCATAATATTGTTTTAAAACTAACGGCTATAACGTAGCAGACAGTAATTTCAATTTCTCATATTTGCTACAGTTTTGATTTCAGAAATAGACAGTTATTCTGTAAGTATTTTATGAATCTAATACTTTCCTATGCTCGGCAACATTCCACATCTCAGAAACTTTACGGGTATTGACGGGGCCAAGGAGATTCTAGCAGAAATTAGCTGTTGATGTGCGCATGTGCAGTTATCCCGCGGGATATCATCGATTGGTCCGCCGGCCGGTACGTCGCCCGCTGCGACGCGGTAATAATATGTAGGTCAGGGATGATTTACATAACTCGCAGGGTCCCGGTGGGAGACCTCACCACATATAGTAGGTACTCTACTTTGATTACATTTCGGAGATAATATTTATGGGGATCTATTCGGTGTCGTTATCTTGACTCAGACATTCAGATAGTTTGTTCTTCTTACACATAAATAAAACACAGTTTTGTTTCATTCGTTTATATTTAATAAACAAAGTGCAATTCAGAGTTAACCCTAACAATTGAACAAATCTTGGGGACAATGGGTTGTCCCATTGCCGACGGAGGGCTGCCGCACAAAATTCCATCTAGTACAAAGATGAAGCCCGCGTTTGCAGGGCTGCGGCTCCACCGTCCGGGTCGTCATACAACCTCTAGCGAATGGTAAGAAGATATAACAGTAAATAAAAGGATGAGCAGAAACATTGACTTATAATCATATCCGGTCCGCAACTTCCATCGGACCGTCTAAGATTACTCACAGCACTGCCTCGAAAAAGGAAAACATTACAGGAGCTTTGCGAGGGTACATTCGCTTGTCGGGTGTACCCGCACATTCTCGCTGTTTACACTACGTTTTCCTTTTAGGAGGTTCACAACGTTTCTGGGTGAAATGAACATCGATGACTTAGAATAACTAAACGCAACAATAGATGATGACGGAGCCGATAACTGAACGTGTTGCAAGTATGTGTCGGAGTGTGGCAGACGAGCGGCAGGACTGTCGACTGGTCAGATGCTCAGGATATAGTCTACCTGTATTATCAACTGATCGTCTCTTCTGTTAATAAATAGGCACCTTTGTGTATACCCTCTATGTAACGAAAAACCGGTTCATGTTACAATTTTTGTACTTATAAAATGTTGTATATCTTACAAAATGAGTTATATATTACATGTAATCGTCTGATACGATGGTCGTACATTTTGAATTAATTTTCGAAGAAGAAAATTTTAGAAGCTAACATTATTTCCAGCATACGAATTACTGTAACTGTATGGAAAGAAGTACAAACGTGATATTTATATGTAATTTAATTATTATTTGTAAAAGTCGTTCCGAAAGACCCAGATATGACTTTATTAAAATAATATTTGTTTAACTACAACTTTTAACGAACGATTATTAAGCTATAGCCATGGGTATTTTACCATTTATAACAATATCGACCCGTTCACAACGAGGCATATCACAACCTGTACCAATTGAATCAACATTGTTTGTAAAGTTCTATACTAGCTACTGACACAAATATATCCGAAAATAAAACTAGGGATTATAACCACGATTCATGGAATCGAACAAGAAGGAAACAAAGGGCCATTGTTTCACCGCCCAAACTCTAAACTGTACAATAGATTTCAAGAATCGAAGAAGTTCTAACAAAGTTTTAAATTTAAATGCGAATTCAGGTCGTTCAACGGTAAGAAGGAAGACGTATTTGTGCAAATATTTTCTGCCGCAGTCTTGTCTAGTGGGTGGCCACTTGCTGCGGTGACTATTCTAGCGCAGAGCTTGCACCGCGGCGGCGTGGCGGCGCTGGTGCCTGTGTAGCACGTACTGCCACTTTATCGCTAGGGGATCGTTCCGGAGACGGAACGTCTGTCAAGGAAACGCTCGTTCAACTCGAGTACATACCCTAAGGGATCAACCGGGTCTAGAGTACGGGATTGATTCCACTGAGCGTGACGACCGTTTGTCATAGTATTCTTGGAAGAAAAGGTATACAATCGCTGAAGTTCTCAAGGGATAAGAAGACATTAGTCAGATGGGCAGTTATTTCTTGAACGTACAGGGTTGGCAGTCAGCGGTAACTTATGTCTACAGGGGGGCGCGGGCGACGAGGCAGGCGGCGGCAACTCCAGCGCCGCGGCGTCAACGTCCGCGCCACTTCGCTCATCACAACTTAACAAATATTCGCGGTATCACAGAACTTTTCGCATGCGCATCCGCAAGCGGGCGGGTCGCTACGACACCATGATGTGCGGCGCGGACAGCAGCACGGCTAGCGTGGCGATGATTGTGAACAGGGTAAAGATAATAAGGCACAGTCTGTCCACGACCATGGCGGCGAACTTCCAGTCGCGCGAAATGTCCGCATCCTCGTCGTCCTTGCGCATCTGGAAAATATAACGTCATATTAAACGACTGAGTACGCCACATCACTCATCACGATATGGAACAAATAAAGAAGGTCGGTGAGGTTACCTGGTCTGTGATGACTCGGATCTCCTTCAGGATGAGGGAGAGCTCGTAGTCGACACCGAAACAACTGTGTGCGGCCAATCCCGCGCCGTTCTCTTCACCCGACCTGCAACAAGTACGCTCTGTAGACAGCGGCTACACGTGTACCCTATACTACAGGTGGAGCCGAGGAACGAAGGGCGCTACGGGAGTTATGCCGATTAGATGTTTAAAGACCAGACCCAGATACAGAAGTAACTATTCGAAAAGTGAAAATTTATGCAATGGCCCGTGAAAGAGTATGTTGATGTTGAATGTTTTCGAATACTCGTGATTTAGCTGTTAGGGTCGGGTTATACTGCGGATCGTTCGAGGCTGGGGTGAATTATCGTAACCGTGCTATTTACGGCGAGTAGTGTTCGTGTAGATCGTCGAGGGACCTGTAGTATCGACAGCATTGGGGCTGCTGTGCTTGCGGGTGCCGGAAGTCGTCATCGATATCGAGTACGTTCGCAAGGAGCGACTTGGAAGAGCGCTCGCGCAGCTCTAGGTCGGGCGGCGGAGGCACGCGCGCCGGCGGGGGCGTCGTGGCGGAGCCCGGCCGAGACATGCGCAGCACCCACGGCAGCCAGTACAGGAACACGCATCGAATCTGGATAAAGACAACCTCATTATAGAAAATGTTTCCTAAAACATTGTAAATACATTCTAGAAAATTTGGTCAATACGAACCCAATCACTCATCTCGTGTGTGTCTGCGTGCCTATGATGGTAATTGAGAATTAGGATGGTGGAGACGACGGATGACGCCACCATAAACATGATGCAGTTGAAGTAAGTGCCGAGTAAGGGCACAGCATCTGATGTCGCTGGCATTGTCTCCGCTACCATGTTGAGGAACACCGTCAACGACAGCAATATCGTTACACCTGGGTACGATAATTATTTTTTAACATTTCTTTCAATTAAAAGTAAAAGAGAAACCACTTAAACTGTCTGCTATGCATACTGTACCTAATGACAATTTTTCGCCAGAATCTGGAGGTAAGGTGAACCCCAACAAAGCCATGGAGGCAATGAGCACGCAGGGCACGATCAGATTAAAGAAGTAGTAGAGCGTCTTCCTCCGGATCACCACCGCGAACGTGATGTCGATGTACGGCTCCGGACAGCAGTTGTAATAAATCTCATTGCGCTTGCCGGGCACTCCTAAACAATAACAATAAAACTCAATCAAGTTTCGTCTATCACTTCAAAAAAAAGCATTTTAATCCGACGAATCTCAATTTAAAATAAAATGATTAATGTGTTAAATTAAATTAAATTGACTACATTAAGATGAAGGCATTTAGATAACGCCGAATAGATGCTTTCAAAGATGATACCTATTAACTCCCATTCGCCATTCGTGACAAAACTGCTTATATCTCCACCCCCCTCATCTTGTAGCTGTAGATCCAACTGCAAGGAGAAAGAACAATATAGGAACTAATCTTAAAACTTATGACAGACTATAGTCATTTATTGTGTAATGTTGTGGACCTGATATCCATCATAAGTCCAGCTGCCAAACTTCATTTCGCAACGTTGGTCGTCGAAGGGAAACCAGGTGATGTCGATTTTGCATGTGCTCTTGAAGATGCCAGGTGGCACGTACAGGCACGAGCCGTTGTTCCTCACCACCACGTTCGTTGGATACGTGCTGTCGAACCCTTCGTCCGCGCTGTGCAACAAAAACATCAATAATGTATAAGACCACATAATATGGTATAAAGGGCTATACTATAGAGCTTGTGCCGATGAGGAACTTCTGTCTGCTGAAGATAAAATCTATGCAAGATTCTAAAAAAGATCCTCTCAAAACTTTAATCAAATTACGTCACGCACGTGAATTTTTTTTATCAATATAGGACTTCTTTACAATAGAATCCTAACATAGATTCTTTATATCAAATAACGAGTCACTACAATCGGACAACAATTTCAGCATTACCATTGGGTATTTATTTAAATAATATTTACTGTTACGTAGTCTATTATATTCTTTGAAACTGCTATAAAATATCTTTGTCAGCGTTAAAGTATGGTTATTCTGTTTACCATCTCATTAAAAGTACACAAATGTTAGCTAAATTATTTTCAAAGAATACTTTAAAACGGTAAGATTGCCAAGTTAAACGATCTATTTGAAGACCTTACAAACGGGTTAGTTGAAGAAGTTTCAAGAAATTGAAAACAAGTGACAATGTTCCCAAAGTTTCGGAAAGGGGCTGTCACCAAAATGTTTAAGTTCAAAGTCTAAAATTACGTCTGGGGCTTAAGTCGACGAGAGCACTTCAGGTCTTAAAAGTCTATCATGTTTTAAATGGTAATACGACAGTGATTGCGGTTCAAAAGTTCTTTAGAGGACAAGGATTTTATTTATAGAAAATGCGTCCCAAAATATTTCATGACACGTCAAAATAATTATAATTAAGTTGTACTGGGTTGGTTTGTGTAGATAAGTAAGTGATTCCTTTGTAAATGGGTCCCTAACTTGTTATTATTACTATCTTAATCGGAAGTGATAGGTGCATGGATTTGGAGTTCTATTAGTGAATTTAATATGAAAATTTTTATCACTAATCAATAATTGAATTGGCTAAAAATTTATGAAACAAAACGAACAAAATATCTAAAAAACAAGGTCATTGGTCTAAACTTCTCAAGCAATTATGGCGGAAAAAATATACTTTCGCTTCAACATTGATGGATGAACAATTTAATTAACAGTACCTTTATATTTTAACGATTGAAAACTATAAAACATCAATCTTTACTTAAAACTATCGAGTAATAAACATACTTAATGTTAATCTTTATTTTTCATCAATGGCTAAGAATAGTAATAGGTATATATGGGCACTTTCTAATCCCAAATACATATTTTTAGTGTTTTGACATAAACAACAATTAGACCTGGGTTCTAGTCTCACGTGAATTTAATTATTTTTGACACGCTTATCTGAAAGTAATAAAACGGGCGCAACCATTGTAATATTAATATTTACTGTGATGAAGTTCTGCCAGACACGTGGTATTTATGTATATTGTATCCTTAATGATGTAACAAATCAGATTTTATACGGTTATCAAATTGTCAAATTGCTATTACATATTCCCGCAGCAAACCTTATGCAATATAGCAGCCCGTATTCGGACTTAATTGTTCTTGATTGATATTGCTCTTAATTTCGCTCTCGTATCCGTCTACGATTCTAGTATAACCCCGATAAGGTGTTTAATTGATCTAAAAAACAAAAATATTTCTTAGGTAAGACTATATATACCTGTTGTACATAAGGACGTCTGGTTTCCATAGTCTGTGGGGCGGTACTCGTAAATCTTTGACCCCGCCGAAATCCGAAGTGTTCCATCTCAAGTTCATATCATTCCACTCCTGGATAAACAAAATATCGCTACATTTACGTAATAAAAACAACGTAACACTTTAAGAACAGACTGTAACACAATCATTAAATCTCATTGCAATGCAATCATTATTAATTACTTTCTTGTTTCTCTACACATATGACTGAATAAAAAGCTGATACTCACTAGTTTAAGCCAGATGTTTGTTATTAAAAGCTGGTTCTTCTCGTCCTGTGAACATGAATTTGTATTTTATTGCTACTACTCTGTCCCGTTTCTACATAGTTTGAACACAAATTAATCATTATTATACTGTGAGAGTCGGTCAACAAGGATCATAGAAAAACGTGTGTACGAACTGGTTTCAGGACGTTGTTTTGACAAAAACTTTCAATAATGTTTGTGTGGACGCACACTATTGAAGTTGTGTGTTCGTGTGCACTTAAAATGTGAGGACATATTTAGAAGACTTGATTGGTTAGTTGGCTTAATCGTTTTTGAAGTGCCTCGTACCATGGTAGTTTATTTATTGAACGGTACATTTGGATAACCATGAGAACACTATCAATCTTGTTGTAGATTATGTGGACGTGTAGTGGGAAATGTTTGCGTGTGTTTTGTAGGGAATGCTGACCACGTCGATGATCTGCATGAGCGTGAGGCCGAAGGAGAGCTGCAGCGGGTCGCTCTCGTTGACGACGGGCCTCTCTAGTACGTTGTAGTGGTCCAGTAGGTGGTGCAGAAGCCGCTTCTCGTGGTACCCGCAACGTGCCCCTGTGCGCACAAAATACCCACCTATTATTTTTGGATGATTAAATTAAAATTATTGGATGTAGACTAAGAAGACAACGTATGAAGAACATTAGGTTTAAAACTAAATTTTTCCGCGAGATATTCTGCACCAGTATCGGGATAGTGCAATAAAAAGATTTTGAACATTGAGGGTCGTCTGGTCGTTTGATCTCGTCACGTACGGCCAAAACCCCTCATGTCACGTAGTTTAAGGACCCTGATTGCTTCTTACAAAGGATTTTTAGCCAGTGATTTGAGAGTCGTGTGTCGAATATCGAACATTTACAGTCGGACTTTGACCGAACTGATCTCAAGATTTTTGGAGTGCTGTTTAAAAAGAATGTGTGTAAATAATATAACTATGGTTTTTGATTTTAATAGAATATATATTTTTTTTATTTATGCATATGTGTACTGAGGGCTTTGTATTTCTTTTTGTGCATTGACAACAGTAGCATTCTCCAGATAAATCAGCAACCTTAATCTTTTTGGGTAAGGTTGTAGATTTATCTGAAGAATGTTTGAATGAATTAGATATATCTTTTTTAATCAGCTGTGCACAAAATGGACAAACTTAAAATTCAATTTATGCAATGATATGATTAGGAACATAAGCAATTTTGTATGTCCGTATGTATGCGGTTGGCACAGTAGCTGGGTAACTGGCTGCAGCACAACGTGTCGTGGGTTCGACTTCCGCATGGAGCAACTCGTTGTGTGATCCATAATTCCGGAGTCTGGGTGTGATGAGTATGTGCGTTTATATACTTGTAGACGCACCCACGACACAGGAGAAAAAACAAACGTAGGGTCAAGTGTTATTAAAAAAAACCATGTGCGGAACTCATCAGCGATCTTGGCTACGGTGTCCTTTGCAGAGCCAGCAGCCTGTATCTGGTCCTCCACCTTACTTAGTTTCTCCAAGAGCCTGTTCTGTGCGGTCTTCTCGGTGCCATACTCCTCCGAAACGGCTTGACCGATTTTGATGAAATTTTTTGTGCTTATCCGGTATCTATGAGAATCGTCCAACATCTATTTTTCATCCCCCTAAATGTTAGGGGTAATCCACTCCTAAATTTATTTAAATTTTTTAGACAAAATTTTTAATTTCTATTTTTTTATGATACAACATACAAAAATACATACAATCCTCAATATTCACCCTTCTACGAAATTATTTATATGGCAAAACAACGTTTGCCGGGTCAGCTAGTAATTTATATTAATTTATTTGTCACTAATAAACCACTTATTGATTTTTATTAAGTAGATACATCTCGGTCGAAATATTTATGTATTTCATTATTAGTTAGTACGCAATTTCAGTTTGGGTGCATTTTGAACCAGCTTTATTGTATAGAACAGGTTAATATCATTTTAAATGGAACATGTAGGTACCATTTTTTGTTATGTTATAAGTAGTATCACATATGAGGATGTGAGCTTATTGTTATACTTTTGACTTTATTATACACATAGGGCCATTACTGAGAATTTTCAACAGAAAAATAAAACTTAAATCGGCCCTGGAATCCAATAGCCCCAATACATTTTTCGCTTAAATATTTTTAACTTAAATATTTTTAAGCGAAACCTTATTATTTAAAGACAAAGCAATTATTTAAAGACAATAGTACCTCTAAATAAGCAAGCCGTTTAACCGATTTCATTATATTCCAAATTAGAATTTAACACATAAAGTAAGTCAATAAATAATAAAGAGCTAATCATATGTCTATTTTTCCTGAATAGCGTATCTAGACAAAGTTATTTCGCAATACATTAATAAAATGATAAGTCTATAGTCATACAATTACATATGGTAGAATTCTAATTAATTAATTCTGTGTTATTACTGAAGAATCTAAAATAAATTGTCAATACTCGAATCGAACCTAATATGTTGCAATTTCATAAACTATCTACCTATAGAGAATATAGCTATTATTACTGCAGCAATTTACGTAATAAACTCCAATATATGTTTATATATTATGTACAAAATAATGCTCCCGATGTTTGTTCAATTACATGAAGTGAACAGTGAGGCAACAACCACTTAAAATTTATCCATTAAATGTAACGAGCCCATGTAAACGAACATCGTATCTATAGATTGTTTCAAGAAAACCAATTACGGTAATTTATTAGTTTGCCATTTTACGAACATTATCGAAGGCCAAGCAAATCATTTTAGCATTTTTTCTTTGTATCATTCTCCTAGGCAATCATTTGGCCAATAAGTAATTTGGAATATAACAGTTTTTGCTACACGTATATCTAATACTTGTTATTTATTCCAGTACAGCTAGGATGTACCTCTGAACATTATTTAAGCCTATTATAAGTAATTGTATACCATACAGGATATTGTGCCAGCGACAGGGGTCTTTATTCTCTACAGTTACACGTGGATACTAAAATATACTGTTATATACAGTTGTTTATATTAGAATATGGAAAAGCTATAGCTATGAATAACAAATTCATTATCATCATCAAAATAACAAACTATTTATCTTAATTTATGGTTTAGAATTAATTTATAGTATAACGACAAAGCTTTCTGGACGTAAATATGGAATATAATAAAAAAACAACAGACTTCAAGAGTATTCTTGAAGTGTTCGTATAGAGCTTTATCTTACACTTTGTAGTCTTGAGATCATTGAGGTAGAGATTAAATCTTATCTCTTTAGATACTTACATCTGAGAATAATGTTGTCACTCAAATCAAGCAGTTATGAGTTATCTTTTAGAAATATAGCATTTAATGAATAAGTAGGTAAGCAAATATTTTGTTTGTGCCATTACAGCCCTCCATGTTACAAAACAGGTCAAAAATATTCTCAAGCGGCCATGGCTGCCTTTTTGACGTACAGCTTCATGTTCAAATGATAAAACGAATAAATCTTCAATTACTATCGTTGTTGATAACATTTCTCACGTGTTAGTGTTGTAGGTTCTCACATATGTTTGTAAATTTTATTGTGTTGTTGTAAACGAAATCTTCCTTCATTCATGACAACTCCAGCGTGTCTTAGGCATATTGTCAGCTAAAGAGGAGGAGCAGGGTGTAAGTGATGATGTAGTCGCTTACCCCTCGGCCAGAGCAGGCACAGCAGCAGCAGCAGGCCCGCGGGCGCCGCCAACAGCGAGCGGCGCGCCCGCCCGCCCATCCTTGGTGTGTCTATGACGCCGCCGCGCCGCGCGCCGCCGCCGCCGCCGCCCCGCGCCGCGCCATTCCCTCCGACCGCGCGACCCGACCCCCGCCTCCCAAACGCCGCACTCCCGCTTCTCTATTAGGATCTATCGAACACGATCGGCTTAAAATTCAATCTTTTTACGGTTTTCATATGTATGCAACTTGTTCACGACCGCTCGCCGACGGCCACGCGTGCCGTCCGATCCTCAAACATCGCCTACTGCGCTGAGGGAATGTGTGTGGAGTCACGGCGTGTTTTTGAGCATTGTTGTTCAGCGGAGTGCGGCCGACCGTGGGGCAGCGGAGCCGCCGGTGTGCGGACTGACGGAGCGCCGGGGCGCGCAGCCGCGCCGCCGCCGCCGCCCATTCAACCGCCGCGCCACGCCGCTGCGCGCTGTCCCGACCTTGTCTCCTCCGCGCTCTGCCTGCACGAGGTCCTCGCTCCGAGCGCGAGCCGCACCACGCACGCCACGCATGCCGCACCACCGCGCGCCACGCGCCAAGCGCCACGTCGCATCATCGTACCACTGAACCACCTTGTTACATCTCATGGCTCCATTGATACTAATCAACAGTGACAATTATAATAATAAGTATATGAAAACTTACAACATTAATTATTACAGAAGAGTATTCTTCTATCTATACATTCATTGAAAAGCACACAGAACCCTATAGCTTTATTGAGAGATTACAATGAGATTAGAGATCCATACAGATAATGTTTAGTAGTTTGATACTTTTGCAATGAAAAGTAATTATTTCAGTAGATACAAACCCGAAACCAGATTGAAAAGTCACGAAAATTTAATCAAGCACCTAAATGGCTATAATGAGCTTGGTAGGATGCTGAAAACTGTAATAGTAATATATTGTGTTTGTATGCATATTTGGTGGAGGGTCAGCGGTGCACGAGGCGAGTGGTAGTGTCGGCGACAGTGCGGGCAGCGCGCGGCAGGGCGCGGGGCGTGCGATCAATGAGGCCGCTCTCTTCGTTGCGAGCAGCCTCCCTGCACCCTCCGCTCCCCCACACGTTTCCCCTTACCATGCTGAATTCATCCCGTGACTATGGCACTTCCAATTCGAACATTAATTTAAAAATATTAGCTGACACCCTTTTTTCACGAGGTTGAATAAAGTAATGTTGAAAAGGTAATCTTGATAACCGGAGGGCCATTAAACCCCATTTTATTATTTCAGTTTGCAAAGCCGTAATATAATTTCTACTGGCGAGGGAGGATTGTTTATCAAAATGTTTATAGAGGGTGACTCTCGGAGCTTACCCTTGAATTTCAGAATAGGAAAATGTTTTCTAGTTGATTTAGTATCAATAAATCGTCAAAGTTGCATTTCCATCAGGTACTGTGAAACAACTAATTATTGTAATGAAAAAAATAAAATGGATGGTAGTTCTAAAAAACAATATGAATATTTTTCAATCTTTTACTTTCGTAATCGTTTCTACACAATAAAGTACCTAGGAGTAGTACTTAGAAATATAAGTACGGTACATGTAGGTATTGTACGTGTAATAATGCAAGTGCTAAAGTATGCAGCCAGCAGACACAAAGCACAATGAAGCCCGCGTGTCACCGCGCTGCGCACTGCCGAGCTGCCGACTGCGAGGCATGCCTGCGCCTAATGTCGCACAACCTGATAATGAAGGGTGTTTGCTCATTACCGCAACCACTTTACGCTCCTACGCGACTGCGCTCAGCGACACTTAACACTTTGCAGATATTCAAAAACTCACACATTCAAATTACTTACGCCTCATTTCTTGCTACCCTTCAGTCAAACAAACATTACGTGCTCGGCTGAAAACGTTATGACAGAAGGTTCTCGAGTTACGTAACATAAACACCAATGATTATAACTTTCCCAACAAGATAAAATAATTGACTGGCTCAGCTCATTAATTCACTCCTTGAATTAATTAGTACCTTGAGATAATTAGTACCGTAGTGCAGGCAATTAATTATCAACAACAAAGTAAAGGACGGGAACAATGCTATAGTTGGAGTTCACGATCCAGGTACCAAGTCTTTATTAGGCGTTGGATATGTTTTGTAAATGGCAAATGTGTTGAGAACTAGGAAGTTTGCGAAACTCGGAGAAAGCGACCAAGGAGTAGGTACGTACCGTTGAATGGCGCAGTAAGAACAAAAGCAGTTCATTTGCTAGAAACTAGGCGAAATAATGAACGTCATATACCTGACTCCCTGAGTGAAATGTCAAAAGTAAAGGTTAAAAGTTACGAGTGCACAGCGCAAGTGTATGGGTCCTCGAGGTTTGCCTGCATTAGGCACTCATCGCCGCCCACATAGGCTTCCATATGTGAACTTTGCGTCATGTACTCGCTTCGATACTTTAAAAGCTTTTGTACGATTATTTATTTTTCTTGGTGGATTGTGCAACAAAAATAATATGTTCAAAATAAAATATGGTATTGCAGCTCTCGTAGTTTTGGTTTAATTTTAACTGGTAACAAATTAACTGTCAATAGTATTGTGTTTGATAGATTAAATATTTGGGTACTAAATATTACAGAGAATTCCTTAAACAACTCAGAGATCGAACCTGAGCTCCGGACCTATCACACGCGTGCACGCGACAAATACCAAAAATCTTTTTCTTTTCAAACGCGAGAACAACTAGGAGTGTACATATTTTGTAGAGAGTGTAGTATAGTATATTTTCTAGTTCATCTCCCACAAACTCCAAACCACAGTTTTACTATCACTAGAGCCCGTATGGTCGCAGCGTGTGTCAATGTTTTCGTATGCGACAAACTTGGATTTTACTAACGCGCTTATAAACGCATTTTTCGGTAATGACTGTCGATTTTCTCAAACTTAATAATTTTAGGACAAATATGTGAAAATCTAATCTAGGTTAAGATATTATTACATAGGCAGTGCTACTCTCTTTCGAGCATATTATATGTATTTTCATGTCATTAGTCAAATAGGACTTTGAAAGAGTAATGACGGATTTCCTGAAAGGTCGCAAATCCTTGCCAATTTCTCCACTCCATCTTAATATAAATGAAACATATAATTTATTCGAAACGGAACCACGTTCGATGCTAAAATATTGATCGAAACGTAAGTACTTATTTATGTGGCATATACCGTTACTCATAAAAACAAATAACAGTGTGTTTGAAAATTGGGTATCTGAAAAACGTATGTAGATGTAATAGGTACCTACTGTATTTTATTTATTTAAAATAGCCTTGTTTTAAGCCGACTATTAGGTTTTATTATTTCGAAATTCACGTGATTGGACACGGTGTTTGACTTTAGAGTCGACCCTATGACCCTATAATGGAACTCAAAACACGACTGGTGAAAACAGCGCGTGAGTATTTCCTTGTCTAAACCTTTTTCATATAACTGGCGTCATTTATGGTATGCCATTGGCAAAAAGTGTGGGTGTACTATAAGTACACTTCTGTCTCTCACTTCGGGGAATTACAGGGGCGATGTTAGGTTATGTAAAATGGGCTAGGTAGTGTGTGTGCAGAGTTGAATTAGTGTGGCGTTGGTGTGGTGTGGCGGTGTGCCGTCGCGTGACCGCTCAATGGCTGCCTGCAAATTGCACATTACACGCCGAGTTCGGCCTGCAACCGACCATTAGTGCATACCCGCAGATTACTTCATAGCGAAACCAACCACGTTAAACTGTTACATTTTTTATGGACTAGCGAAATTAGTTTTGAAAGACAATGTCATTGCTGGAGACTCTAATACCTCAGTGTTCAACGATAGCTATACTACAATATTTCCTTTAGACATTGGGCGCGATGACACCTGCTCATACCTATGTATGATATAAGATAGTAAGTTTCGTTGTAAATAAATACTTACATAATGTTTTATATCTTATCGAACTATAACTTTCTCTCTCTACTCACACATAAATACTGAGAGCAAGTTCAGTCATTGACATTATGACTTTTGAAGTCAGACAATGTGACTTTGAAATGTAACTAAAGTGAAGAAGTTCTGTATAATTAAAAATAAAAGCTTTTAAAATGTTTGAAATTGATCAATGCCGTACGACCTGCCTGCATCAAATGAATTAATGAAATTAATAAAGACATTTGAATAGAGTTTCGAGTCTTGAAAACAATTTGATTGGATCCAACCCATTTATAAAGCGGGTTTAAATTATTTATTGCTTTTCCGACAACCAATTGTAGTTATAATAAATGTAAATGAGTTGCGTCTACGTTAATACATATTTGAGGCGATGTAATGAGCGGATGTAAAATAATCTCAATGGTGTTTCGGGGAAAAGAATTCATGTAGGTACTGAAACATGTCGATGAAAAATTGTACATTCCATTTTCATGATTGCTTCATTTGATTTATGACTGCGGAAGAAAGGGCGTCGTTAATATTACACGGACTATGAAATGTACGAAATTATATTTATGTGTTTGTATTGGGCGACCGAGGGCGACGGGCTGGTCACACTGATTACTTATTAATGACCACAGCCTGCCAGCCCCGGAACGCCGATAAATATTTTCCTAAACAAATTGTGCCATTGATCGCTGGTAAACAAACAGAAAAAGAATATCAATTTTCTCTAAATTTGGAAAGTCGACCCAAGAAAAGTAATTTATAAAGTAAAACAATAAAAGTAAAAATATTGGAGCTACTTAGTATTACATTGGCATAGAGGCTTATATTGGACGTGATCTGGTGACAGTCCTGTAACATCCAAAGTACGGGTAAAGCTCGACTGGCGCGATGTTACGAGTCTCGCAAATGTAATAAACAGCGAATAGAAATAGCCGCACATGGAGGAAGGGGTGGTGCCGCAGACATTTATTACGTGACGCTCCTACGTCTCAGGTCGACCGACAGCTCTGTGAGTGCACACTGCACTTCAATGCGGAAACTACTAGCACCAACATAATATTTTGAAATATGCTCTTTAAATATTTCCTACAATATAAGG